GGAAAGTGAGAATGGTCTTCTTGCTGCCTGGCCAGCAGATGGCACAACCCCACAGCGGGTCAGTCCAGCAATCCTTGCAGGCTGGGGCAGCAGCTTCCTCACCTCTCACTTTCAGGAGAGTTTCAGCTGAAGGTCATCTCCTCCCCGTCTTTCTTCCTTCTCTTCTTTTCCTCCTTCCCTTTGTCCTTCCTTCCTTCTTCTCCCCCACCCCCAATTTACTGAAGGACTGAAAGCTACCAAGGAAATTGAGTTAAAAATCATTACTGAGAATTATTGTAAGGCCCTCTAGAGGGCAAATATAACAATCTGTCTTACTGTGACAGATAGCATGTAATTAATCTAGGTTCTTGGGAAGGAAGGTGATTGATTTTGGAATGGATCTAAGAGAAGAACTGAGTGATATGCAGCACAAACTTAATCTTTATAATGTCTTTTTTTTTTTCTTGATTGAAAAACAAAACAAAACAGCCTGGTCTAAGGAAAAGACAGGCATCTTGTGAGAGTAAACCAGGGGTTTTGGGAGGTTGACCCAGCTATTGGGAAATTATTTCTGCAAGTCACTCTAACCCAGTTCCAACATTAGATATATTTTTCCTCAACTTAAAAAACTTGAAGTCTAATGTACAAAGTGGGCTTTGAGCCCATGACTCCTTCCTTCCCTCTTAAAGTATCTTGCTGTTCTGACCGCAAACAGTACAGACTAGTTTTGCCTGTGAATATATGAATAAAAGAATAGAAGAGTGTGTATTCTTTGGAGGTTGTCTTCTTTTGTTCCAACTGTGTTTGTAAGTAGCAGTTCTAGTTTTGGCAGCAAGAAGGCAGATGCTCCTTCCTGAGGCTACTAGCAGGTCTGATGCCTGTGTATGAGTTGGCTAATCCTACATTATTCCCTTTACAGGTGGAGGGGCAGAATGAAGGAGGCAATTGTCCAGGGGCATGAAGGGAGTGATGGAAAGGGGGAAAGAAAAGCTAGAGATGGCAGGGTGCTCTAAACACTAATTTTGATTAAACAATGGTATTTGTTGCTTGTAATTTGATGTTAAATATCTTTAGGTATTTGTTCAGATTAACCTAACATCCAGTACCTTTGCCGTATCAATATAAAATGCAGTAGTCATGTGTCCTTTTTCTTCCTTCCCTAAGTTGGTAACCTGAATTAAACATGTTCTGGGCTTTTTAGCAGAGAGTTGCTAAAATCTTCCTAGATGTATGACTTCATTTAAATATACAACGCACACACTATTAAACATGCTACAACCTAGAGAGGTATGATGACTATCTCTGTAAGAACCCACTCCATTAACCAAGAATACACTGCAACCCATCACAAAGTGTTTCCAATGCAGTAAGACTCCCCAGAAACCCTTGGGGTCTCAGCTTTACATGAATATTAAAGAAATAGCTTTCAGACTCTGAAGAAAACATGTATTCAGAATGTAGTGACAGACATGGGAAGTAATCAAGCTTTCAGTGTGTGGTACAAGAAGGCACAATTCACCTCTGTTTAAACAATTTGCCCTTTAAGGAGATGCCCAAGTGGCCAGAGGCTTCTTTATAGAGGTGAGGACTGAGACATCAAAGTTTGCAAGGGAAAAAATAGAGATCTAGGACCAAATTTTCATACCTTCCTTGAAACCAGATCTTGCACACCAGCAATAAAAAAAAAAAAAAAAATTAAGAAGAGGAACAGTTGGGGAGAGAGGGAAGAAAAAAAAGGGAGTTCAGCCAGAAGCAACCCATGGTAAAATAATTAGGAAAAGTTTTTCAATAGAAAAAGAATGGGTATGGAGTAGGGTGAGTGCAACAATTTGAATACAAAATGTCTCCCTAAAGGGTCATGTGTTAGAGGCTTGGCCATCAGCCTGTGGTGCTACTGGGAGGTAGTGGAACCTTTAGGAGTTGTAGCCTAGGGGGAAGAGTCAGGTCAAGAGGGAGACATGCCCTTGAAGAGATATTGGGTCTCCTGCCTCTTCTACTCCACTGCCCCCCACTTCCTTACTGCCATGAGGTAAGCAACTTTGTTCAACTGTGTACTTCGCTCCATGATGCTCCGCTTTGCTACAGGCCCAAAACAATGTTGCCAAGTGACCACAGACTGAAACCTATGAAACCATCAGGCAAAATAAATCTTTCCTCACTTAATCTATCTCAGATATGTCACAGCAGCAGAAAGCTGATGAACACAGGAAGCAAGCAAAGCAAGGAGAATCATGGCCTAGGAATTTGGATTCTGGAACCACAAGATCTTTAAAATGTTTATTTGATCGGATCTCAGTATTTTCATCTGCAAAACGGGAAAAATAAAACGTACAGCACTTTTGTTATTTGTAAATGATGTGTCTGTTTCTCTCATCATCTGCCTGTCTATATTAATATTTATATTTCTATGTTAGCAATAGACTTACTCCTACCAATTTTACTGAAATTTCAAGTACAGAAGCCAACCTGTTCTTAAATAAATAAGCAGCTCAGTTTACCTAAATGTGAATTTTACCAACCCAGCTATTTCTGACCTAAGGTCATTCCCTCAGGGAGATCTCATTATTCTACATTCAGTTTGTCCTTCTGGTCTCACTACAAAGTAAAAGGACATTTTTGATGTTAGGAACATGGCAGGTGGGCATTTGCCAACTCCACAGGCCCATGGTTTAGGCAGCACATTTGCTGATGGAAAATAGGATCTCCAAAGAATGCCCTTCTAGCTAGTGAGGATTATTTATAGCTTCTGACACAGGAGGTTTCAAGTACAGAGTGAATATCATCATTAATGTTAACTTGAATGAGCTCTACAGGACAGAGGACAATAAAGTCTTCATAGGATATCCTTAAGAGATCCTGTAGTCTTATAGAACTCATCTACAGGTAGGAAAGGATGAATGGAGCAATGGCAGTGAGTTGCTAAGACATATAATAGGACTTGAAGCTTGCTTTTCTCCCACAGGTCATCAGTGGTCCTGTTCTCTGACTGCAGGGTCTCCCCTTCCATTTGTTTTTTCTTCTGGAAAAGAAATGTTGGTCCAGCATCTTAAAGAAATGCAGATTTTTCTGCTCAGAGATTGGTGGGTGCTTCAAAGTGATAATCTTGTCTTCCTCACTTTTAAGTACTGACTTCTTTAGGCCTCCCCTAACCCATTCAGAATTTCACAAGATCTTTCATTAGTTGGTCTGGTTTGCTTACATCTTATGAAGGTACTTGGCTCAGTCCTCACATATAGTATATCCCCACTTGGGCTACTCTTTCACTGACTCCCTCTTCAAGACCCATGTCTAGTGACATTTTCTATAGAAGACTTTCTCTGACTAGCCCTCAGGAAGTCTCTACCCAATTCTTCTGAACTTTGAATAGTAGTTAAGAGTCACTTCATATAATATGGTGCTGATTAACCATATTGTATTATCTTTTATTTTGTTATGTGTTAGTTTCTCCAGACAATTTGACTTAGGGTTCTGCTGAATTTAGGAACCTGTTGAGCCAGGGACCAAGCTGTTTGAGTTAGAGATGTTGTCTACTCAGAATGGTAGAGGGGACACTTTCTGATGACTCATACAAAAGTATGGTATAGGTCATTTTAAACTCTTTCTCTTATAATCAGTTTCAGACATGTGCAGACCAATGTGGCTGTCATAGATAGAAACCACAGTCCTCCCTAAAGAAATGCCATTTTCCCAGATCCCCTGAAAGACACCATTCATCAAATGCTTTCTTCCAAGACATCATCTTTTTCATACACAGAAAGCTGACACAATTTTCCAGATGAAGCAGAACAAAAGACCTACTCTAAGGGAAACTTAAGACAAAGCCACCATAATACAAATCAAATTTTGACATATAACTCAGCAACAATTGTTAAAAGCCCTAGAAACAGCCTCAAAGATAGAGTTAGGGAATAAAAGGAAAAAGAAAGGCCAGACTGACTCCTTTAATTAAAAGACTTGCAGGTAACACAGAGGAGAAATGCAGCTCAAGGTAATGGTAGTTGCCCAGCTAAACTGCACCAGGTTTGGCACTGAGGTAGAAGAGGAAAGACCTGAAAGAGTAAACCAATAAACTGTGTACAACAGGACACACAGATCTGCTCTCTTTGTGTAAGAGGAGTCTGGTTTTGGTTCATGAATTGGCCATGTATGTTGATGTGCAGAGCAATCTCAGAGGAAGGGACTGCTGTCCCAAACCACCATTTAGTGTCACCCTTTGACCTGGAGTGAGTCACTCAGTCTAGTTTTCTTACTAGAAAAATGAGATAACACCACTTCATTCATTAACTCATCCATTTACCACATATTTACTCAAGGCCCTACTCCAAATACAAAGGAGCACAATGGCAGCAACAACGAAGTCTGTCTTTACAGAGCTTTCAGATCATCTCCCCAGGTTGAAGTTATGGGGAAGTGTCACTAAAGGCAGAATACTGTGACAATGGTGACTTCTTCATCATCAACCACTTCCACTCTAGATCTAGTTATAAGACCTGAGCAAGTCATAACTTTCCTATGCTCTCCTAGTTTTGTCTAAAAATAGGAAATTTTCTATTCTAAATTTTAATTAATCCAAATGCAAACAAAGAACTTAATTAAGCTTTTTAGGTAGTTCTGAATCACAGTTTACTAAAAGATTATTATGAAATAGTTCTGACACAACTAAAGGGTAAGAAACAAGCCCTTTGTGTACCAACACCCCTACTCAAGAGAGAAACACCGAAAGGAGTTCTATATGGTGGGTGTGCCCTCTTATCCCCAGGGTTTGTAACAGCAATGAGTTTGGTGATTATTATTCTGAATCCTGGCTGTTTCAGGAATTCTGGTGTGTGACTACAAACGATTTACCAGGAAAGCACTCTTCCTAAGTTTAGGAGTTCCTGGTTCCTATTGAAGGCCAGATCATGACAGCACATATCACAGGCAGTTCAAGTGCCAGTCTATTCTCTCCTTGCCAGCCTGGCTTGCTGCCGACCCAATGGCAGCCACTGCCTGCTGCAGGAGGAGCACAATTTTGTATTTACCTTGAGGGCCTTCTGTGCAGATTCACTAGACCCAATTGCGATCAGGTTAGGCCCAGCCATGCTGCAGAAACTCTTCAAATGCAAAGAATCAGCCACAGGGACTGTGGAGACTGCATAGTCCTATGCAGACAAACAGAAATACAAGCAGCTTAGTATTACAGGGTAATTCTATTGATTAAAAAATCTTCCAGAACCACGCTTATTCCTTTGAAAGATGCCAGGCCCTGAAAATCTGGAAGACAGACTGCAACTCCCAAGTGTTGGCATTGCCATTTAGACAAAGGCTGGTCTTAAGAAAAAAGCACAGGGTTCATTTCTAGATGTGTGACTGTTAATGGCTTTATGGGCCATTTGGCCTATGGAGTAGAATACCCTGGGAGGGTGGTGGCTCAGCCAGCACTTCACATCCTCACGGGAAACAGAGTGTCTTGGGGAGTTCTATCCTGTCCCAGGCAGTCTGGCAAGCTGATCTACCAATCATAAGTAAAGGGACCTTGAAGAAAGAATTGCAATAGCTAGCACAGTTTCCAGCACACAGTCAGCACCAACACATAAGTGATTCTAATCTGAAATACCACATTTCACATCAGTCAACTGTGTCTCCAAGTGACAGACTATGCCAGGAACACGTGCCAGGAGAAACAGATGATGGCCAGCTAACGTTGTCTGTTGCTTCTGTGATAGCTCAGTGAAGCCCAATTATGAAGAAATTTGAATTTGATCTCTTTAAAACTTCTACCAAATGTACAAATACGAGGAATTATTTTGCAAGCTAGTGAACTACAAACACCATTACTCATGCCATGTTAATTCAATGGGTCTAGGACTATTAAGTAATTAATTACTCTGATGCAGGCATACATTATCATTTACCTACCTTAAAAGTATCAGCCAAGATTTCAGCACCTCGTTGATTTGTCCTTTTGGAAAGGCCAACAAAAAATTCTCTGCCTATAAGAGATGTTCGTGGAACATAGTGAGTTGGGTGGCCCTGCTGACTGTGCACTATTTCCTTATCTATAAATAATGACCTTTAAGCATCACACAGTTCTCTCCTACAACAGAAGACAGCTGGTTGAATATCAGAAAATCAATTAATGTAATTAAGCATACAAATACAGTAAGGAAAAAAATCATATAATCATATCATTGAAGCTAAAAAAAAAAAGAATTGACCTTATAACCTGGAATTCATTTCCAAGTGCTGGCTTTAGAGAAACTCCTGCATCTTGTATATGTCCTCAGGAAACACACACAGGAATGAGCACAGCAACTTCGAAACCAGGAAACACACCAAACATACATTACCATTACAACGAATAAATATAGTGTGGTATATTCCTATCACAGGGCACTACTCAGCATTGAAAACAAACCACAGCTACAAATCAACTTAGGTCAAAAGTAGAAAAATCATACAAGAGTTTGTATGGTGGGACTCTACTAATGCAAGACAAGCAAAACTAAGGGGGTGGGGGGGTGGGGGAGTTGGCTCACGTGGGGGAGCACCTGCCTAGCAGGTGCAAAGCTATGAGCACAAACCCCACTACCATCAAAAAGAAAAGACAAGCAAAACTAAACAACATATAACTCAGGAAGACCAGCAAGGACTAACACAAAATTCAGAGCAGTGGTTTCCTGGGGCTGAGAGGAGGAAGAGAGTTGACTGGGTACTGCAAGGGGCTTCACCCATCCTGGCAATGTTCTGTTCCATAAGCTAGGGGTGAGCAGCCAAGTGTTCATTTTATTATCAGCCTTTACAGTGCATACACAATTTATAGCTCAGTTGTATGTACTCTATATTCCACAAAAATAAGTAACTACAAGTAAAGGTAAACTGATGTCTACTCCAGAGAAACAGGATGAAAACTTTTTTTTTTTGCCAGTAGCTGCTTGCCTGACTGACAGATTTCCCAACAGGAGCTGCAACTGGAAAGCATTAATTGTTAATGAAGCTTTATGTTACAGAAGGAAGAGGGCAGAAAGCACATAGAAAGTGCTACAGATTTTGTTACTTACACAGCTCTGTCTAATTCAAGAATTGAGTGGTAATGCTTGCATATATTGTGAATATAACTAATGCCCCATGAATTGTACATTTAAAATGGTTAAAATGGCCTTTTTTTTTTTTTTTGGTGGTACTGGGGCTTGAACTGAGACCCTTGCACTTACTAGGTGGGTGCATTTAAAAAATGTAACATATATTTTACCACAACCAAAAAAGAAAGAAAAAAAGAGAGAAAGGAAGGAAGAAAATTTTAGAAGTAGGATATAGCAGGACCAAACATTAAGTATGAATGGATGCCAAGCAGATAAATATTCCAACATCATCTCAGTTCTAAATAAGGTAATTATTAGACATAAATGTATATACTGTATATATCAAGTAAAAAAGTCTACAGATAGTAGTAAAGGTAGGCCTCAATCTTTTAGTGCTTAATTAGAAGATGGGACAAAGACATCAGGATTGAAATTCTGTGGAAAGACCATAGGCCAAAGGAAGAGATTCCTGGTGTAAGTTGTACACCTATATTGAGGAGGTTTTAGGGTAGCTACCTGTGCAGCTCAGCTGTTAAGCCATATTTCAAAGATGATCCACATCTGCTTACAATAAGTTATTTATTACATGCCTATGTTCTGGTAAAAAAAAGTCGTATTGTAAGGAAGTGTGATTTACACATCTAGCTTTCCACAAAAGGTTATTTTCTAAGAGAAACAGACTGTTGTTCTGGTCTGTCAAAAAGAATAAAAGTGCCATCAATGGGAGACACAAAGAATACTCTAAGGAGAACTCACTGGACACATTCAAAGAATGCCTGAGTCTGCTTGGGCACAGCCAGAAAAAGAATGCAGCGTAGGCCTCCTGGACTCCTTGCTCTGTGTTCTGAGGACTCAGTGTATATGCAAAACCCAGAGGCAGAGCCAGCCTGAGACAGTGACAGCAGTGCACAACTCCAACTGATGATATTCACACATTCCATGGTTAAAATGGCACCCTCTGGGGATGGGCGACACAATGGCTACACCCTCAAGCAGACAAAACTGAGCTGTGAACTGCTAAAATGTTACAGAATAAACACTCCTCCTTTTCCAGCAGCACTACATTATATCCAAAAGTAAGTAGTGCAAACAATCTTATGTTAAAACAAAGATGGCTGTACTCTGGCTATACACTTGAGACTCAATGTAAAGCCTCATACTTTCGGGGCCCATCTGGGGCTAGTTTCCCAAATCCTCGTTGTTTGGGGTATATTGGAAAAACAGGTATTTATTCTTTGACATGTAGGAGAAAAGAAACTTTCACTATAAATTAAAATCACTAATGATTATCTTGCTCTTCACTGTGATCAGAACCAATCTGGGCATCCAGAATTGGAAAGGTTAAATGTGACTGTTTCTTTAGTAGCCATCTTATACCAATTGTAAAAACTGATTCTGCTTAGGTCAATAATATTAGCACATCTATATTTTGCTGAGTTCTGCTGTTATGCATCTGACATGAAGCCAAGTCGATTTGTGCAGAAAATTATTTGAATTCATCTTGCCATCTGGAAAGAAATTTATTTGTAAATGATTCTAAACTGGAATTAAGAATCCTTTAAATACAAACCAGATATACAGTCATATAATGGAATACTATGCGATCCATAAATGCAATTATAGACAAGCATAGTATATACTGATAATATTCTTATAAGGAATATACAAATTTTGCATACAAAGTACCGAAAAGAAATGTACCCAAATATTAAAGTGCTTATCTCTGAATTAAAGGTTATTTTTTTCCCTCATTGTGCTTTTCTGAATTTTTCAAATTTATTTAGCACTTATTACTAAAGTAATCTAAAAAAAAAAAAAAACACCTAAAATGAAACAAGGGAGTATGAGTCAGGTATTAGAAATATTTTGGGATAGGAAAAAAAATGTACCTGTGAATAAGACATCTCCACCATCTAAGGTTGCATTTTCATCTTTCATCTCTACTATGTTGAGCTGAAGTTTTTCTAATGCTTCTTTCATCATGTCAACCTGTTGGAAACAAAATGATTCAGATTAATGGCCTATCATTTCCTAATTAGAAAACCAACTGTATAAGGCTTCTGAGCACTAAATCACAGTTCCATGCACGCACATACACCCCCCCATCTCCGCTTTCTTGTAAGTATAGGGATCAGTATAGGGCAACACCGGTTATTACCATTTGTAAGAGAAGAAATTGTATGTTAGAAGTTGCCTATTTTGTTCCCTTTTAGTTTAAGGTTGAGTCAACATTATATTCCCTTTTCTGTGGGAAGGCTAGTTACCTAGGACACTGTTGGAGGCTGACCAGTGAAGACACCGTTGGAGGCTGGTAGTTAGGGCACATAATTCAAGGATAATAGAAGGTCTGTCACCCAGTCCTCCTATCCTTGACTGCCAATACAACATTTGATTTTAAACTTAAGTCAATTAGTTAGAATTATGCACAGAGAAAGTAATAATGGAAAGAATATTAATAATTAAGTAACCTGAAACTTCAACCTATTAAACAGTCACTGCTCACTGTTCAAGTATTTTCTAAAATGCAAGAATATCCAGGGCTTCTCTGTAAATTTAAACTGTTACTGAAGTTTATATTCAAACAGTTAATATGATTACCTGTTTTTAAAAATCTAATTCCCTAGAGGTGATTAACAAATACACTAATTGCAATCAAATCAAACAATATTAGAAAGTGAACTCCAAGGATTCTGATTTCAGGACATCTCTAAAACATGAAAATATTCTGGACTGAATTAGGTAACACTTCTAGTGAGGCTTACTTTATTTTCTGTTGTTTTAAAAAAAACTATTTTATTTTAGAGACATGGTCTTGCTGTGTGATCCAAGCTATCTCAAACTTGTTTCCCTTGCCTAGGCCTCCTGAGTGCTGGGATTACAGCTGTGATTCACCATGCCTAACATTTAATGCAAGAAAAAAATAATATAGCATAACAAATGCCCTTTGGAGCTTACAGTTCAACTCAAGTCTTTCCAGCAGTTTAGCAAAAACAATTTAAATACTTTTGAAGGCATGTCAAACCTGTAACATGGTAAAGACATATGTTGAGAAGACATGAATAGGGCTAAGAGAAAAACAAGAGATCACATCACACTGGGCAAAGCAGATATTCTTGCCAAAACATAGCATGCCGAGTACACAGGGTGAATTGTCCAAGAAGAGACAGTCACTTCTACAGTAACAAAAATATGGAAACACTGACAACAAGGCTGACATTCATGCATTCAAAAACATTAAGAGGATACAAAGTAAAATAAATACATCATCTCATCCTCATCCTGGAACTTGAGTTAAAATTCCACAAACTAGAGTGACTCAGAACAATAAAAATTATTTCCATGGACAAAACGGTCTTGATGTTGTACTAAATACATCCAGTGACCTCATTGAACAGCAGAATAAGTTTTCCTATGCATCAGGAAGTGGAATTGTTGCTATAGCATAAAAAAGGAGCAAAGCAACATTTACCAGGAACTGGTTGGGCTACTGTGAAGGCAGGAAAACACACAACTGTTCGATTCTGGCATCTCTGCTTGTTTGTCTGTGGAAAATTCACTGAGCTTAGAGAGAGAGCATAAGAACTTTGCTAGGTCACCTTTCGTTTCTATTGCTGATAGTGATTCTATTACAACTGCACATTTCAAAGATTACTAGGAATTCATTAGCAACAATGGATTTTGGTTGAAAAGTTTATCTGTAACTATGCAGCATCTCAACTCCCAACTTTATTCAACTCTTGAGTTAAAGAAATAGGGAGGCTACTATACACCCGTTTCAGAAAAACTGTTTTGTTTACTTTAAGCCCACCATGTCAAAATTAAAGTTTTTGAGGATAATAAAATGTTTGTGGTTTCTTAAAAGTTAAAACAGCTGCACTGACATTAAAACTGGTTTTTGTGCAAAGGCAGTATTTTTAAAAAATATTACTTAAACATATTCAGTCACATCTATATAAACAAAGTCATCAGGACTGGCCCATACCTAGGTACAGTGTTACTTTCAGAGTAAAGTTTGTGGACAAGATTTTTAAATGCCAAGTAAACCATTTTGAAAAGTGCAGCATCACGTGGCATCAAACTGGCAAGGAGAAGAAACCAAAGACTGAACCTCAGGGCTGTCCACTGAGAACCTCGTTTTCTTGGCACAGAGGTTCCCGGAAAGCACACAAACTCGGCTGCAAATAGGCCCAGCACTGCTCGGACACCCGGGCCTAAAGCAAGCCAGCTATTCAGGCCTTCAGGACATTAAATATAATGACAGAAGTGGGAACTTTTGCAGGAAAAGATCCAAACCATGAACCTTCAAGAAACTACTCGTTCTGTGGTTACACAGCCATGGTTAATGCTGAATTAATTAATTTTCCTGAGGAAAAAAATGACCAAACAACACACCTACCTTTCACAGAGACACTAACCCTGCCGAGTGGAACTTTGCATTACTCAGAGAAACGGTCAGAACAAACAGTATTGATTCCAAACGCTGAGTTGAAAGGGTCACGTTAGCTCAAGAAATTAGAAATAAAAAGGGTAACCGAAACAACCTTAACTAATTTAAATCTTAGAGGACGAGTGCATAATTTCCATACTCTGAAGACTTACAAGACCTTTCTTCCTTCCTTTTCAAATTACATGCACTTTGATTTCATTTTTTAAAACCTTATCTTCCCATTTATTTTTAATTGTTCCACCCTTTCTCCTCCTACCATTTATCACATTCTTTCCCCAGCTATGGTAGCTTCAGACCACCTCTCCTGCTTTCTTTCATTGATCTAATACACAACTCTTTCTCTTTAAGAGCTGGTATAGTCTTGAGGTAATTATCTCTTCCTTCCTTCCCTCCCTTCTTTCTTTCTTTCCTTCTTTCTTTCGCAGCTCTGCTTCTTATTAGCCAAATAACCTAACATTTTGGGCCTCAGAAATGCTCATCTTTAAAGTAGGTGTTTAGTCCAGCCTCATGACACACATCTGTAATCCCAGCTACTTGGGAGGCAGGGGCTGGAGGATTGTAACTTCCAGGCCAGCCAGGGCAAAGTTTTCAGAGTCCTATTTCAAAAACAAAATACAAACAAAAGAGCTGGGGATATGATTCAAGCGGCAGAGTGCATGAGGCCCTGTGTTCAATCCCACTACTGCAAAACAAAACAAAACAACTAAAATAAGTGGGTTTTTAAATAAAAATTTATTTTTTATTAAAATCACTTTTTTTGGCAGCACTGGGATTTGAACTCAGGACTTCACACTTGCGAGGGAGGTGCTCTTACCTCTTGAGCCAAGTGGGTGTTTATTTATAATAGTACCAACTTCTTAGGAGCTTCTTAGGCTCATCCTCATCATTAAAAAACATAAAGCTCTTAGCACACAGAACTGAAATTACACAAAAATGTTAATACTTTCATTATTTTGGTGGAATATCAGCTGTGTGCACACAGTGACAGATATTTGTGCTATGAAGCTGACCCATCAGAAAAAAAGCTGTTGCTTTTTCTTTCATTTGGACAGGTTTCTTATGTTTTACACCCCATGACGGATCACATCTGCTTTCCAGCAAACTAAAACTGCAGTCTTCTCTACAAATGCAATGCGGAGTTAGAGCACTACGTGGAGGACTCCCTAAAATTTGCATCATTCAGATTTATTTCCTTCCAGCTCATGGAAGCCATCAGGAAGAGGTGTATTTCTGTGTAACCTCTGCTCTGAACTGCACCAAGTGGAAAGTAAAATGCCCACAGGACTCCCAAAGGCGTCAGCCAGGAAGATAAGGGATGAGTGCGTTACGCAGACATCACCAGTCCAAAGAACCCCGTCAGTCTAAAGAATTTCCTCTCTTTCTCAATGCCCAGTCTGTGTTCTTCCTTTCTCATTTCACTCTCTTCCGATGTTCTTTCATGGCTGATTTGATATCATCATTGTATCCTCTTATTTCGTTCCTCCTGGGAAAATACCAAGTATTTGAATAATGGCTCTAGGAGTGATGCGACTGGATTAAATGAACCTCTCCGAGCCTCAGTTTCCTGATCTGAAAGTGGGTAATGCTGTCTCTCTGACAGGGATTACATGAGTAACAAGGCAATGCATGTAAGCCATTATGCTCAGTGCCTGGCACACTGTGCTCAAATCCATAATTGATGCTATTTATTATTTTGCCCTAAGTAACTCAGTTCTTAGTTTGGATGCTGGTTACAGTTCAAAAAGAAGAAAAGTTAAACATGTATCACTTTCAGATTTTAAATAAAAATCTTTTAAGCCCAACTCTCCTTTCCTTCTTGCAAAATCCTCTCCAAATCTAAATTCAAACTAAAGCAGTTTTTTCCAAACTTGCAATAGGTATTTACACAAAATACCTTGCAATTAATCTAGTGTACTTTATTTAGAGGCGATATTTTCCCACTGACTCCATCCCAAATTGACTTTTTCTGTGTATATTCAACAATGTCCACTGGAAGCATTTCACACCTTCACTCTGGAAGCTTTGAATGTGCCCATGAGGCTGGATGGACAGTTTTGTGCTTCAGTTACAGAAAGAATATGCGTTCATCTCTGTCAGACAAGCCACTCTTCTTTAGCTGCTTCTGCTCCCTGGCTTGTGGTGCTATTGGGGGGGATGGAACCTTTAAGAGGTGGGGTTAGTAGGAGGTCTTCCGGCATTCCCTCTAAGGGGATAATGGGGTCCCAACACCTTCCTCATCCTCTTTTTCATATCTTGGCCAGGGAATAAAAGATTTTACTCTACCGCATACTCCCATCATAATATGCCACCTCCACCACAGGCCCCAAATAGGGCCAATTGATCATGGCCTGGAACCTCTGAAACTGTGAGCCAAAATAACCTTTTTCTCTTTATAAGCTGATTAACTTAGGTATTACAGTAATGAAAGCTGAGTAACACACCACTGTTTTCAATGCCCAAGTACATTTTCCAAGTCCCTTTTTGACTTCTCACATTATAAGAGCTTTTAAAATGATAACATCATCCTATCCAAAGAGTTGAA